CTGCAAGGAACATAAATCCTTCCATTCCCCACCAACCAGTCAGAGCTGAAGAAGCTTCTTGGAGGAGAAGCGAAACATCCTCAAAGAAAAACAAAGCAAGTCTTGAAAAATCACCTTTGAGGACAATCATGACCTGGATGACGGAGAATCTCCATAGACTATTTTGGATGTCTTTTTGCTGAAGTGGTCCTTCGCTTCTCTTCTGCAACCTTACCCTGTGAACAGAAACTTGGCATCCGAATCTCTTAGCCAACTCAAAGCTGCTGTAAACAAATATATCCTTAAGATACTCGCTGACATGCCGGACGTTTGCTTGCTACTCTTCTCCAACCTGGTGCCCTTCAGCTGAGCTTGCAGATTTCCCAGGAATTTCACAAAATTCAGGATTTTGCTAGGCACGGAGTCCCAACCGAACTGGGCGAAAAAGGCTGAGGAAAGAAAATCTTTTATACATACATAGCATGTGCCTGATTAAAATAAAAGTTGCCCGTTATATGCAATTTTGCATCTTTTAGGAGTTTATTCCTCTTTGTGTGTATACACGCACACATCTTCTTCAATTTGGCCGTTGCACACTTGTATCAGGCCCGTATTTGACCTAATGGGGAGTGTGATCCCTTAGAAACCAGGAGACGGTGAGTTCTAATCCCGCTTTAGGCATGAAAGGTGGCTGGTGATTTTGGACCAATCACCAGGAGACGGGGAATTTTAGACCCGCCTTTGGCGTGAAAGATGGCTAGGTGACTTTGGGCCAATCACCAGGTGACAGTGAGTTCTAGTCCCGCCTTAGGCATGCAAGCCAGCTGGGTGACTTGGGGCCAGTCACCAGATGACAGAGAGTTCTAGTCCACTTTAGAGACATGTAAACTGCCTATGTGACTTTGGGTGAATCACCAGGAGAAAGTGAGTTCTAGTCCTGCCTTAGGCATGAAAGCTCTATGGGAGACATTGGTTTGAACACCAGGAGATGGTGAATTTTAGACCCACCTTTGGCGACAAAGTTGGCTAGGTGACTTTGGGCCAATCACCAGGAGACGGTGAGTTCTAGTCCACCTTAGACATGAGAGCTGCCTGGGTGACTTTGGGCCAATCACCAGGAGAAAGTGAGTTCTAGTCCTGCCTTAGGCACGAAAGCTATATGGGGGACTTCGGGTCGATCACCAGGAGATGGTGAGTTCTACTCCTGCCTTAGGCATGAAAGCTATATGGAAGACTTTGGATCGATCACCAGGAGATAGTGAGTTCTAGTCCTGCCTGAGGCGCGAAAGCCAGCTGGATAACTTTGGGCCAGTCCCCCTCTCTCCGTCCAACCCACCTCCCAGAATTATTATTGTGGGAAAAAGAGGAGGAAGAAGTATTAGGTATATTTGCCGCCTTGAGTTACTTAAAGGTAAAGGTTCCCCTCGCACATATGTGCTAGTCATTCCTGACTCTAGGGGGCGGTGCTCATCTCCGTTTCAAAGCCAAAGAGGCAGCGTTGTCCGAAGACGTCTCCATGGTCATGTGGCCGGCATGACTAAACGTCAAAGGCGCACAAAACGCTGTTCCCTGCCCACCAAAGATTGTCCCTATTTTTCTACTTGCATTTTTTTACGTGCTTTCGAACTGCTAGGTTGGCAGAAGCCGGGACAAGTCATGGGAGCTCACCCCATTACGCGGCACTAGGGATTCGAACGGCTGAACTGCCGACCTTTTGATTGACAAGCTCAGCGTCTTAGCCACTGAACCACCGCATCCCTAGCTACTTACGAAGTAGTAAAAGCGAGCTTTAAAAAAATCTAATAAATAAAATAATAAATTGCGCACAAACGGAAAAATCAGAGCTATTTTTTTAAAAAAAAAAAACCAGGCACAACAACAGCGTGCATAAATTACCTGTAGATATTGGTCTAGGCCAGAAATCTCAAAGTCCCCTTTGCAAATTCACTTGCGTTGAAAATCTAAGCAAGCATCTGGTGCATAAATAAGTCACAAATGTTCCGGGCACCGATTTGTTCGTGGCATCATTTGCTCTTCTTTGACGTCACTCTGGGAATAACAGCCGGTTTGTTTACTGGTGGTGGAACAATTTAAAGCATTTGGGGGTTTGTCTTTCGCTCTCCAATTCTCGCTGGGGGACTTTGCTGGTTGCTAAATACTTTGCAGATGAAAAATAAAAATAATCATTGGATCGTTTTTCCCCCCCCCAGAAGGGATTCTGCTTTGGGTTTGGGAATGGCGAGGTTTTCCCAATTATTTTTCCCCAAGTTGTCCCCTTTGTGTTTGGTTTGCTGAAATTTAGAAATTTCAAAACATAGCTGGGTTGTTTTTTTTTTGGTTGCCTATTTCTCCTAGCGCGCTTTTGGCAATTACATTTGTGATTGCGATTTGGCCTGTCAAGCACAGATTTTGCAAATATTTTCCTTCAAAGAATATAGCGAAATAGAGTTGGAAGGGACCTTGGAGGTCTTCTAGTCCAACCCCCTGCTTAGGCAGGAAACCCTACACCACTTCAGATGAATGGTTATCCAACATCTTCTTAAAAACTTCCAGTGTTGGAGCATTCACAACTTCTGCAGGCAAGTCCTTTCACTGATTAATTGTTCTCACTGTCAGGAAATTTCTCCTTAGTTCCAGGTTGCTTCTCTCCTTGATTAGTTTCCATTCATTGCTTCTTGTCCAACCCTCAGGTGCTTTGGAGAATAGGTTGACCCCCACTTCTTTGTGGCAGCCCCTCAAATATTGGAACGCTACTATCATGGCCCTCCTAGTCCTTCTTTTTATTAAACTTGTTGTTGTTGTTGTTAGTTGTGAAGTCATGTCTGATCCATCGCAACCCCATGGACAAGGTTCCTCTAGGCCTTCCTGTCCTCTACTATCCTCTGGAGTCCATTTAAGGTCACACCGACTGCTCCAGTGACTCCATCCAGGAACCTCGTTCTCTGCCGTCCCCTTCTTCTTTTGCCCTCCATCGTTCCCAGCATTAGGCTCTTCTCCAGGGAGTCCTTCCTTCTCATTAGGTGGCCAAAGGATTTGAGTTTCCTCTTCAGGATCTGGCCTTCTAAAGAGCAGTCAGGGTTGATCTCCTCTAGGACTGACCGGTTGGATCGCCTTGCAGTCCAAGGGACTCGCAGAAATCTTCTCCAGCACCAGAGTTCAAAGGCCTCCATTCTTTGGCCTTCTCAGCCTTCCTTATGGTGCAACTTTCACAGCCATCCATTGCAACTGGGAAAACCACAGCCTTGACTATACGCACTTTTGTTGGCAGGGTGATGTCTCTGCTTTTTAGTATGCTGTCTAGGTTTGCCATAGCTTTCCTCCCCAGGAGCAAGCGTCTATTGATTTCTTGGCTGCAGCCCCCATCTGCAGTGATCTTGGAGCCCAGGAAAATAAAATCTGTCACTCCCTCCATTTCTTCCCCATCTATTTGCCAGGAATTGAAAGGGCCGGATGCCATGATCTTAGTTTTCTTTATTTATTTTATTTATGTAATTTATTTATATTCTTAATGTTGAGTTTCAAGCTAACATTTGCACTCGCCTCCTTTACCTGCATCAAGAGGCTCTTTAGTTCCTCTTCACTTTCTGCCGTTAAGAGTGTTATCATCTGCATATCTGAGGTTGTTGATATTTCTCCCGGCAATCTTAATTCCAACTTGTGATTCATCTAGCTCTGCTTTTCTCATGATGTTCATTAAATCAGACATACCCAATTCCAGCAACCGTTCTTCATACGTTTTAACCTCCAGTCCCCTAATCATCTTCTCTGCACTCTTTCTAGAGCCTCCAATTCTTTTTTAACACCATGGTGACCAAAACTGGATGCAGTATTCCAAGTATGCCCTTACCAAGTATAAAGTGGTATTAACACTTCAAAGAATACATTTGTTTCACTATTGTCATCCACATTTTCATGGTTAATAAATTTCCCGTAATTTCTTTTTTCTTTTTTTAATTGTGTTGTAAAATAAAGGAAATGGTGAATTTGGAAGAACTTAATTTTGCTTTGGGTATTTTGCTTCGTGCACTGAAAATTCAAATGCAAACTGAATCATTTTTTTCTTGCTTCCCTAATATCCAGCAAGATGCAGTTCAATGGTGATGTCAAGTTTCCGAAAGATGCCCTAATTAATTCATGAGCCATGATCCCAACTTCAAAGGAAATATATTCATTTATTAGGAGCACCATTCCGGCAATACTCGGATGCAGTTAGGACTGATCCTACGTAGATTTACGTTCCCCTATGACCCTGTCTCTCCCCTCCTCTCTGGCCATGTCATAAATCACATTCTCCAATTAACCACTTTGGCTGGCTGTGAAACCCAACACCCTCCTTCTGATTGCGGTCAGAAAGAATGTATGGAATTCACTTCGGTTCTCCCTCCCTCCTGCTCATGGCAACTTGAAAGCTTTGCAAGTTGACAGGTGAGACATGTAAAAGCATGGATTTAGGCAAGAAAAACCAAATGTTCAGGTGTAGACTAGGTGGTACCTGGCTCAATAGCAGTAACTGTGAGAGGGGACTTGGAGTCCTAGCGGACAATCAGTTAAATATGAGCCAGGAGTGTGTTGCAGCTACAAAAAAAGCCAACACAGTCCTAGGCTTCATCAACAGAGGGACAGAATCAAGATCAGATGAAGTGTTAATACCACTTTATAATGCCTTGGTAAGGCCACACTTGGAATACTGCATTCAGTTTTGGTCACCACGATGTAAAAAAGATCTTGAGACTCTAAAAAGAGTGCAGAGAAGAGCAACAAAGATGATTAGGGGACGGGGGAATAAAACATATAAGAACAGTTGCTGGAATTGGTTATGTCTAGTTTCATGAAAAGAAGGACTAGGGGTGACATGATAGCAGTGTTCCGATATCTCAGGGGCTGCCCCAAAGAAGAGGGAGTCAAGCTATTCTCCAAAGGACTTGAGAGCAGGACAAGAAGCAACGGATGGAAACTAATCAAGGAGAGAAGCAACCTAGAAATAAGGAGAAATTTCCTGACAATGGGAACAATTAGTCAGTGGAACAACTTGCCTCTAGATGTTGTGAATGCTCCATCACTGAAGGGTTTTAAGAGGAGATTAGACAACCATTTGTCCTGTTGTGGAATGAAAGGACCAAGCAACATTCCTAGGTCAGCCAGAGACAGTTTTATTGCGCAAGGTTCAGAGCCAGTTTTTTACCTGAAGCTTTGAACAAAGAAAGAACTCTGATACAACGGTTTTATACATTTCTAAGACAAAGGATTCAGTGAGATCATACATTTTCCATATATGGTTAACAGGAGATCATACATCCGATTTTCCCTATATGGTTACATACATTGGATAATATTTTCATCTAATTACTTAAACCATTAATTTTAGTTTATAAAATTATCTTAGCCACACAACTTTTCTTAAGTGCTCGGAGTTGCTAATGGGAGAGTTACTGCTGTCCTTGGGTAAATTTATTGGATTAAGTAACTCTTTGTAACATATAGGTCTTTGTGTCATTCACAGTGAGGTCACTCAGATGTTTTCCATATGGCTGTCTTTTCGTGACATCTAGGTTTCATCAGAAGATATATTACCACGTAATGGGGTTTAACTGTTTGTTAATATAATCTCCAACAAGCACTTTCCTCTCTTATAATAATGTGAATAGAGAGGTTCTCTCAGAGTTCATGTATCTAAGCACGTTTTCCCCTTATAATAATGTGAATAGAGAGGGTCCCCCAGAGCCCATATATCTGTATGATTCCTTTCTTTTATTCACATTATTTCTTTCATCTACATTAGTCCAGTCTTCTTCTCTAGCAGGGGGCTGGACTAGAAGACCTCCAAGGTACCTTCCAACTCTGCTATTCTGAATTCTGAAGTAGACGAGCCTCTGTGGCAGGAAATTTTGCAGGCAAGACTTTTGGGTTCAAATTTCCACAGTGACCTTGTTTTGATCTCTTATCCTGCCAGCTGGCCAGAACCCAGCCTGTGGTCAGCCTTAATCTCATTTTAGCTGGGTGGAGGTTTCCTTTTTATTTGGGTCTCCATCTGGAATCTACAGATAAGAACGAACTCGCTTAAAAACAACCCAGAAAAAAAAAAAACATTTCCTGGTTTTAAACTGCTCTTCTGTCTTTAATAACCCAACAGCAAGCGGACTATTTAAAACAGAAATAAAGATAAAATTACATACGTATTTAAAAAAAAAAAAAAAAGAAAGGCTCGACCAATGCAAATTCTATGTAAGAGGTAGCTATTAAGAAATCCCGAGCAAGTAACTAATCATAAAAAGGAAAATTTGAGTCCATTTTGAGGACGGTAATCTTTTAAAACCTCTTTTTTCTTTCTTTCTTTCTTTCATGTCCGATTGATTTCTTGAATTAGAGGCACATTTAGACTCTGAAATCCTGAAAGGATACAGTTTAATTTATCTTCAATCGATAAAGGAAATGTTTTTGTCTGGAAACATTTTTTACAAAATGTTTTGCTTTTACTGAAATGTTTTTCGTTTTTACAATACAATACATCCGTTGCTTCTTGTCCTGCTTTCTGGTGGTTTGGAAAATAATTTGACCCCCCCTCTTCTTTGTGGCAGCCCCTCAAATACTGGAAGACTGCTATCATGTGTCCCCTATCTCCCCAGTCCTTCTTTTCTCTAGACTAGCCAAACCCAAATCCTCCAATTCAGGGGTGAAATGCTCCCCGGTTCGGACCGGATCCGGTAGCGATCGTGGCAGGTAGTTCGGAGAACCAGTAGTGTTCATGGTGCGAGGCTGCCCGGTTGTCACTACTTCCTAGTTTTAACCAGGAAGTAATGTATTTTATACTCTCTGCGCATGCACAGAAGGTTTTGCTTTTTTGCTTTTAAAAATGCTATTCGGGCAAATAGGTTGTAAAAAAATTGCTTTTTAAAAAAGTAAAAAAAAAAAGGCTCGGATGATCACAGCTGAGCTGCGCGATTGTCAGAGCCTTTTTTTAACTTTTAAAAGCATTTTTTAACAACCTATTCGCCCGATTCTATGCGTCCCGCCCTGCACATGCGCGCGCAG